AGGAATCAGAATCCCCCCAGTCCTCCACAGTTTCTCTAGCATGGATTCACTTAAGAAGGGGTTCTTGGACAGAATATACAACAGAAAAAACATCACATCCAAAATTATTCTTTTACTGTCAAGTACGGTAACTTCTTTTTTGACTTTTTAAAATTTCTATTCTTTGAGAAGTATTTAGAAAACATAAAACAAGACAATTTGACCTGACTGGTCAAGTTATCTGTAAGAGTCTGATGGAAGTTTGACATTTTGGAGAAGGATTGCATTCCAGGTAGAGGGAACGACTTGTTCGAAGGAGCCAAGGTCCTGAGAAAGACTAGGTTCTGACTGTTTCTCCACCTTCACTTTCTTGAAGCGATGCAGTGAGAACTCCTTCAGCCAAAGGCCTTTGAAATGCTGGCCCACCTTGGGCGTGGTCTTGGATACTATAAATCCAGGAGTAGGGGCATGGGCAAGCCCTTTTTGGCTGCTGGATTGGGTTCCTGTGAGTCTGCCTTTAAATACAGAAACCTTTATTATACTCCATTCTGAGCTAGTGTGGGGCTATTTTATTATAATTCCCAACAGCACTCTCTCCAGCCACCATTTCCACCCTGGAACATCACACCCTACATGCTCCCAACTTTCCCCTTTCAAGTACACACTTCTTTGCAACTTCTAGAGTTCTCTTCCATGCCTCTCATTTACAGAAGAGTGTCCACATGTGCATATTTGAATATGTGTACACCTACATATGGATTTCTTAGTGTTTGATATTGTTATTATGTTGTTATCTTAACTGGTCTGTATGTTCCCTGAGGACAAAGAGAACCCATCAGAACCTCAAGTCTGGTACTTAGGGTCTAAAAATGTCTAGAGACTGACTCACAAAGGCTGAGCAACCCCCACCTCCAGTACACAACTCTGTGTGCGGACAGAATTCGTGTTCTTTCCACGACTGTTTGTGTAGGCATCCATCCATGCCTCCATCTTCTACCTATTGGGAAAACAAAAAACTGCTAAGGTCTTAGGGTCTAGCAGAGGAGGCAGAAATGTAAACTGGCCATTGCAATCTGATGCATTAGGGATTCAGCAGAGGTGTGCATGGGATTCCAGGAAAACCTTAAAGAACAGCTGAGGGATGGGAGAAGTCTCCAGAATGCTAACACTACACTAAGTGCCCACTCTCCAGGGTACCTTGATAAGAAGCACACTTACAAAGTTTTGGGGTTTCCGGGGTCCTCAGGTCCCCATCCCCTTTGTAACAGAACTATGAAGGCTTCCTGCCAGGCAAACAACCGTGATCCTGGAACAGGGCAATCAGTGCTTGTCTGGATTAAATTCTTAGAATCTAGGGTGCGTGCCTACAGCCAGAGAGCAGTCTGCTTGTTAAGTCCACATTGTCAGTAATGGAGGCAAGATAGAGGATGCCTTTCAGAGTCACAGACTTCTGCTTTTTATCTATGGAATGGACCCTTCATCAACTTCTAAGCCTCTTTTTTCTGATTCCTGGGGTCCGACTTAGGAAAGATAACAATGGAAAAGCGAGACATGGTAGAAACAAACTAGCCTGGCTATCAGTCATCCAATAACTCATTCATTCACCCATTCATTCATTCACCCAACCATATATTCATTTATCCATGTGTTCATTCATTCATTTATTCATACACTTACCAACCATTCATCCATCATTCATTCATCCATGCTCCTGTCCATTCGCATACATTCATTCATACAATAAACACTCACCTGTCATCTGATACTGGACACAATGTGAACAGGTGTGATCCTGTCTATCTGGACCCCTATCCACGTGAAGAGGAGATTGCTGACATCTAAACTCAATGCCAAGGGTAACATTTGGATGTTATTTTGTTTGTTTGTTTGTTTTACATATTCTGTCCAACCCTTCGTCTTCAGGTGAACACATGCTAGAGAAACTGGAGGACTGGGAGGGTGAAGAAGAGGAGCCCTGTGCAATCCCAGGACAAGCCAAGCATACAGCATGGAGAATGAGCTGCCATGGAGATGAATGAGGCGAACTGGTAACCGTAGACATGTTCTTCAGCCGGAGAAGGGGTCTCGGCAGAGGGGAGCATCGAGAGTATCAGCACGCAGCACCCCCACCAGTGCTGGGAAAGTCATGCATGAGAGAGAGCCTCACTCACCATTGGCTGGGAAGTTAGACAGGGATCTGCCCAGAGTCTGAGTCTTAATCTTGCTACTCAGAGGGAGCTGATATCACTTCCTCTGTCACCAAGTACTGGCTTCTCGAAGTGGGCTGGGCTGGAACCGCATTACTGATCCACTGCATGCCCTGTGCTGCTACTTGTTCCAAGGGTGTGCATTCATGCCTTCCATTTGTTCCTCTTGAGTGCATGTGCATCACACTCTCCACCACAGCCAGTGGGAAGAAGCATCTCTCACGCTCCGTATACCGGTGCCACCACTCCGATTGTTGGAGTAGCCACACCGGGATTATACACCTCCACTGCTGTCTCTATAATCCCTACATCCTGTCTCCAGGAACTGCATGGGTAGGACCCACTAAAGTAGCTCTGTCTACACATTCTCCAAGAGATATTGCCCTACCATGTGTACCACATTCAAAGCCATTGGTTACAGCAAAAGAGCAGTTGACATACTATACCGCATTGCTCAACTGAATCCAAAATAGCTTTCCAGGGCTGGCGAGAAGGCTCAGTAGTTAACAGTGAATACTGCGTTTGCAGAAGACCTTTGTTTAGCTCCCAGCACTCGCCTCAGTCAGTTCATAACCAATTGGAACTTCCACTCTTGGGACTCTGACATCATCTTCTACATACTCATGCACATATCCTCTCTCTCTCTCTCTCTCTCTCACACACACACACACACACACATACACACACACACACACACACAATTAAATGCAAAAAATAAATCTTTTTAATATCCTTCCAAGCAACCAAGCCAAGGCATACTTCCAGATAAAACAATTGACTCTGAGAGTCACCTTATAAAGGTGGTGGAAATGATTGATCCTCCAGATGTGCACATCTTGATACCGGAAACCAAAAGTTACAGTAAAACAAGGTAACATGGTAACGTGAACCTCATCAAAGAACATACCTACTTAAACAAGGGACCTCCAAGAAAAGGATATGGGTAAGGTCCCTGATTTAAAAAAAGAGTTGAAAAAGTGATATAGGAAAGCTCAAAGAAATTTCAGAGAATAGAGCAGACAACCCGACAATATCAGGCAAGCAATTCATGCCATGAATGAAGACTTCCGCAGAGAAAGAATCGTGAGATGGAATCAAGTTGTCATCTCCAAAATCAATAACTTACAAGGTGTTTTAGTTAGGGTTTCTATTGCTGTGATGAAATACCAGACCCAAAATCAACTCAGGAAGGAAGGGGTTTATTTGCTTGCCTGTCCTGAATCACAGTCCGTGAGGGAAGCCAAGACAGGAGCTCAAACCAAGTGGGAACCTGGAGACACGAGCTGATGCAGAAGCTGTGGAGGGTGGAGGGGTGTGGCTTACTGCCTTGCTTCTCATGACTTGCTCATTCTGCTTTCTTATAGAACTCAGGACCACCAGCCCAGGAGTGCACCACCCACAATGGGCTGGGCCCTCCCTCCTCAGCCACTAATTAAGAAGACAGTTTACAGGCTTGTCTACAGGCAAATCTTTTCAGGCATGTTCCCAAATGAGGATCCCTCCTCCGAGACGATTCTAGTGTGACATGAAACTAGTCAGAGCAACAAGTTAAACAAAAGATGTGGTTGAAAGACGTTGTGTGATGTTTTACTCTTTTGGGTTTTTTGAGCTCCCAAATAAATCACATGGAGGCTTATTCTTAGTTATGAATGCCCGGCCTTAGCTTGACCTGTTTCTTGCCAGTTTTTCTTAACTTAACACAATTACCCTTTTCCTCTGCGCTTTTATCTTTCTCTATTTCTGTACACCTTTCTTTGTTTCTTTCTCCATGGCTTGCTGTGTAGCTGGGTGACTGACCCCTGATTTTCTCCCTTTCTCGTTCTCTTGTTTGCTCCTTGCTCTCTTCATTCTGGTTCTCCTTCTATTCTTCTCTCTGCCCACCAGCCCTGCTTAGCCTTGCTCCTGCCTTGCTATTGGCCATCCATCTCATTAAGCTGTTTAATACAGCTTCCAGAGTTAAACAAATACAGCATAAACAAAAGTGATACACCTGAAGATAATATTTCCCAACAGAACGTCTTGACAATAAGACTAGAGGAGACAGAAGAGGAGAAAATACAAATCTGTAGACAGGTCTTCTGAAATATCCAAATCAGACAACAGTTGAGAGATGGTAGAGAAGGCCAGGGGAAGGGCAGGGTAGGGTAGGGTGGGGAAGGGAGTAGAGAGGGGCAACTGTGGAAAGCAGTGTTATCACCTGTGACCAACCACAATCAAGTGGGATGATTGCACAAGTTCCCTGGACTACATATCTGTTCCCTATATACAGATACAGATCACACACACACACACACACACACACACACACACACACACACACACGAAGCATAGAATCCCCCACACCACAGACATACAAATGTCATCCATCCATACAAACACATAGCACACCCCCAACAGACACATAGACGGCAACACATACACAAAATACATAGCACCTCCACATACACAGACACCACTCACCCACACAAGCACATAGCACCCTCCAAATACATAGCACCACATGCTCGCATGCACACACATGCACACACGCACACACACACACACGCACATACACACACACACACACACACATCTGGGTAAAGACAAAACCCTGAGCATGCCCACTGTCCTACAGGTGCCCAGGTTGTTTTAACAGGCTCTTCTTCCTTCCCCACAGGGAGTCCTCAGCCATCTGCCCCTCCCTTGAGTCCCTGACTCCTGGGAGCCCACATAGCTCCAGAGGTTTGTATTTCCCTCCACAGCCGGTTCTGTGAGGTGAATTATACATCTCAGGTTTGTGTGATGACCATTCTCTAAACTAGCAAAAACAAGCCCTTAGCTTCCAAAAGCCTTTTTTCTCCTTCAGACACTATGGCTCATTCCTGGCTGCTCGCAGCCTGCGCCCCGTTGCTTCCTTGCAGTCACAGAGCCCCTTCAGGGGTCTCAGCTGGGAAGCCTCCCAGGAGCAGCTGCAGCTGCAGGAAATGAAGTCTTTGGTTCACCAGATGGCACTCTTTGCTCTGAATCTGGAACAGCAGTGTCTGCAAACATTCCCGAGACGCAATGAACTGCGTTGCCTTCTGAGTTGATAGCAGCATAAACCCAACCTGTCCTTCTTGGGCACTTTACAAACATCGCAGAAGAAGCCACGTGACATCTTTAGCCAGGTCAACCTCTGGAAATAAGCAGAAACAAGTATGAAAAGACCCAGAATGCTCTGACTGTGGAATTAGTCCCTCCAGCAAAACACCTTCCAGAATGTTCTTCCAAGTTTCCCGCGTGCCAACTCGTTCCTGTTTGCACTTGTCCTGTCGTGTGTCAGCCATGTTTTAGGACACTGTCTGAAGCAATGGCTCAATTATGTATTCCCAGGTGTGCCACCCGGCCTGCAGAAGACTAATTGTTTCTGCCTTGTTAGCCATAGGAAATAATTATGATAAAAGTAACCAGTGTTTAAGATACAAAGTAGATAGGCTGTCTGTTCTACAGGGTGGAAATCTCCGCCATTGTTTCTCCCTGTTCTGTTTGGGAACTTATTTTTTTTTTCTGGTTTTCTATTTTCTTGTTTTCTGAAATCTCTGTGAGTTTCAAGTGTAAGACAGACAGAAACTTTAAGGTCTCCTACACTGCGAAACCAAGAAAATATTAAGACCCACTGAGTAGAAACTTTTGCCATGAACTTCCTGCTGGTGTGATTTTAGTGATGGTTCTTCTAGAAGCAAGTGAGAAAAATCTAACAAAATTCAGCCCAAAGTAACACAACAAATTACACAGAGACACCTTAGAGTCTTCCCAAGGTGGCTGGGGGCAGTGTCCCTTCCAGGACGATTCAGCCTCTCCAGAGGCGTCCCCTCTTTCTTTAGACTTCCAGGCCTGAGGTCATACAGTAGCTTCAGAGGTGGAAGGGGTACAGTGAGTTCCCTGAGGGAGCCTAAGGGTGTTCTTATGGGTTCTGTGCATGCTGGGACAAGGGAGAAACGAGAGGGAGGGATAAAGGGCACCGAAAGATATAGTTGCTGCTACTAAGCAGTTATTACAGTTATGTGAGTAAGTCATTTTCTTTAATGAGCGTGATGTCACTGGACAGTTCTCTGGTGTTTACCATAAGCAGGTTTGTTACTCTGAATAATTCTTAGCTTAATTACAATAAGTATTTGGATCATTTCCATTTGTCTCTGAAGATGATTCAGTCAGGCTCTAGGACTGGTACGTTGGTTCCGATAGGCACTGATCAGGAGTCTTCCTTCATTGGGGGTACAGAGAGCCACCCCTGTCCCCAACCTTGTTCTCCATGCTCTGTGAACACAGAGGAAACCCCCATAGATGGAAGCTGAGAAGACAGATTGTCCTAATGGCCGTTGGCCCATGTGTACTCACTCCATGTCACCAGTCTGAGGGTTTGCAGGATCCCCTGCAGAAAGCAGCCCCTGACCCACTTCCACTGTCCCAGGGTCTCTGCCATAGACGAGCGAACTGCATCCCATCCAGATGTGCCCAGATAAGCCTCCCCAAGAACAGTTTCCTCCAGGCCCACTCAGTTGGCTCACGGAGTGTTCAATGGTTAGGCTTATGAAATTCTCTATAAGTTGGCTTACATAAACCGATTAGAATCGAGATCAGCTTCCTGAGTTGCCCTGCAGGTTCACGGGGAGATTTCTGGTCACCAGATCTCCCTGTGATTGCTTGGGAAATTATCAGACGTTTGGAAATGCCTCTTAGAAAGTCATTGTATGTGGAATCCTGGCGTCGTCGGATGGTTGCTAATTTACTTAAATTATCATTGTGCTGCTCTTGAAAACTGCTCGTGAGCCTGCTGTGTATCCTGTCCTGGCAGGGTCATTGCTGCCTCTTTCTATCTCCCTGACTCTCTGTGTCTTCTCCTCTCTCCTGTCTCCTTTTCTCACTTTCCTCCTATCTCTTCTCTCTCTTCTCCTCTCCCTCTCTCCCTCCCTCCTCGCTCCCTCTCTCCCTCCCTCTCTCCCTAACTCCTACCCTTACCCATGCCTTAACAGCATACCTCACACTGTTCTGCTCATTTTATGAGCACTTAATTAAATCCAGGTACAGATGATTGATGGGAAAGAAAAACAGTTGGGTAAAGAATGTAGGAGGTTTGAAAGTTTGGCACCAAGAACAAATTGGAGCCTAATTAGCAAACAGGAAGAACCTGAAGTCAGGCTCTGTGTGGAAAGCCTGCTCCACAGTCATTTGAGGGAGAAGAGAATGCACGTTCCTTACCAGATGCACATCTGAGAGGGTGTGGCTTGCCTAGAAAGGCCTAGCCCTGGCCAGGAGATGAGAGAACACATTCAAAGAGAGTATGTGTTTCAGACGCATCTGGGGAGACCGCAGCAGAGTCTGGTACAGAGCAGACAACATTCCAACCTTTCTCTTTGGAGAATGCTCTAGGATGTTACTTGCTAAGGTCCAAGGTGATCCTCAGAAGCAGGTCAAGAGAGGAAATGAGCAAACCACTGGCAGCAAGCCTGGGAACCATATTAAGTCACCTTGAGTGAATTAGCTACGACACCCCCTTCCCAGCGCACACACAAGCACATCACACCATTCACAGGCAGCATCAAGCATCTCGGCATCTGGCTCCACGGCTTTCCAGAAGACTCAGCTTTCTCTCCAGGCCAACCAATTAGAAGCATGGTTTGCACGCTCCTTTCACTGTGCTTCAGCCAGGTCAGGACAGAGGGCATACCCATCCTTCCCTGACAGCCACATCTTTGAGCATCACTGAGGACAACTTCAGGACCAGCTTCTCCTTGCTGGTACCTCTCGTCCCGTCTTAAGCAGCACCAACTCTGGGTACTCACAGAAAAGGAAGGCAGGCATGCTTTACCATAAAGGGTGTCAACAAGACCAGGGCATGTGGTACACACACACAAACACACACACACACACACACACACACACACACACACACACTTCTTGAGCCAGTCTCTCTCCAGGACAGAGTAACAGGAAACGCTAGTGCTGGTGCACTAGCAAGGTGAAAGGAGACCACACCCTAGACCCCTAGATGAGCAGGGAGGAAGAAGCCCAGCAGTCAATGACTGGAAGTCACTTTCAATTTCCTTTCTTACTGCTCCCCATATCCCAGCCAGCAGTGGATGGAGATGAAGGGCAGTGGCTCCCTTACCCGTACAGTCCAGAGAATAACTGGCAATAGCCACGCTTTTGGCTTTGATGAGAGTGTTTATTGAGAATGTAGGAAGCGAAAGCAAAGGACACATAGCAAGCAGCAGGTAGAGCTCACTTGGAATAGAAGCAGAATGTCATCAACTCAGGAGTCTACAACGTGCAGCAGAGACGAGCGCAGCCACCTGCTTAGGTCAGCAGACAAAGGAAACATCATCACTTTGGGTACCGGCAACACCCACCAGAAACTATGCTGAAGAATGCACTTTCTCTCCACCGATCCACTTGCTTCTCATTCTTTTCATTCCGCAACGGGGATTTTCATAGCGTGGGATAAACAATGGTAACTCCACTTAGAAGTGGTTTCTCTTCTGTCTGTTGTCAGGGCTGCGATGGTTTCCTTACAGGGGAGCTGGACCAGCATGCCTCAGGTTCAGAATACTTGCAGAACATACATCCGTGCTTCCTGACCCCCAGAGTCCACTTTTCACTGAGTTCAGATAGGACCTGGTGTTTTTCCACTAGGATGTCCATGACATTCCCACTGTGTGCTGAGAGAGGTGAACCCCTGGAGAGAAAGAAAACCAAACCAAACAAACAAAAATCCCACTGATCTTGGTCCAGATCGGTGCCATTCTGTGCACTCACGCAGGAACGAGCAACTCCGTCATCCCCACCACAATGTGACTCCTGTGGGTGGCATCTGGGTCTCCCAGCCTGGGGAACTCTTGGATGAATTTCTCCTCTTACTGTGGAAATGCCTTTCGTGGTGGGCCATGGTCTTCCTTAGTGAGAGATGGTACCGGTCTACCTGCCCTCCATTGGTTCCCTGTTCCCATGGAAGTCACAGAAGCCACGAGTCTGAGCACAGGGAAGGCCTATAAATGCTGACCCTGGAGAATTTATTGACAATCACCTATTTAGCCCTGAGATTGACAGAGGCATAAACCAAATTAAGAGCAGCAGGTTGCTGTTATAGGCTTGGGAGTTTCGTCTCACATGCTGGTCAGAGAGACCAAGGCAGAAAAAGGCTGAGGGAAGAAAACCCTGTAGAGGGGCACCCTGCACTACCCAGAGCTGTCATGAATCAGTGGTACAGTTGAGGCTCGTGTATGTGGTTTGTGACCACAACGTGGAGGCAAGAGTAGAAAATGGGTGTGCAAGGTGTGGCCTGGGTCCTGCTAGGGGTCATGGGAGGAGTCTAGAGGCATTTAAGGGATACATAGCCATGGCTAGTTGGGCGGGCTCCTTCCTCTGGAGAGAGGAACAGTCTCTGTGCTGGAGTTGGGGCTCTATTAGTGGGAAGAGGGGCAAAGGGGAATCATGCTGGCAGCGCTGGCCTCTAGTACCTGCAGGTACACTGGGAGAAAGGGAGCAGCATCACACACAGAATGGGGAGTCCAGGGGCGCTCATGCGGGGAAGGCCAGGTATAGTGATGTGGGAAACCCGCCTGGGACACTGAAGGTCCAGGCTATGCACAGGGATCTGCAGGGGCTACAGGGGAGGCAGGAGCTCCAGCAAGCCCTGAAGACATGGGGGTAGACCCGTGGAGTAATGTCCATAGCGTGCATGGAGGGAAGAACCTCGGAGAGGCTGCAAAGCACTCAGGCAGGAGAAAGTAGGCTGGGCAGGGAGAGTAGTGGACAAGCAAGAAGGGAGGGGGGAGGGAGAGAGAAGAAAAAAGAAATGGAAAGACCTTCAGATGTGAGGGAGGTCTGGAGGGACTGACTCCGTAGAGGTTATAATCAAGTGGAGAGATGGGGCAGCAGGCCCCACTGGCACCCAGGAGACGGGAGAGCACTGGGTCCCTTACCACCCTCCCTGGCTGAGCCTGTGCTGAGGCACAGAGCAAGGTCAAGGGTAGAAATAGCTCTTGATAGCCCAGAGAGGTGCAGAATCTTATTCATGGCCCAAGAATCCTCTAGAGATTCAATGTCGCTTTTGCTTCAAAGAACTTTCCAGAGAAAAAGAACAGAGTCATCGTGAGTGGGGGCAGTTTGTATGCAATAGGCTGTCCCCATAGTGCC